ACCTGAGAAACCACAGTTAATGCGAGAACAACAGGAATCTCTCTGAAGTTAAGCTAAAAAATTAGCTAAAAAATTTTGCCTTTAACAAGTCACAATAAGACAAGAAAAGGAAAAATGAAAACATTAAGTGATAAATCATATTAACTTATTCTATTTCATTTATAAATAAAAACAAGATTTTCAGAAGGTTTAGCATTTTATCCTTTCAGTGCTATAACTGATATTTTCTTCTTGAAGATAACCTTCTCCTGCTGATTTGAAAAGATTGAACAATAGAAATCTGTTGACAACAATGTGACTGTTATATATGTAAATGTGTCGCGTCAGGTATTATATAAAGCACTGGGTGTTTTTGTTGTGGTTGGCACAGATTGTAACAGTTTCAGCAAAGCATGTGCACACCGGTCACATGCGCAGGTTTGATTCTGCACAGCAGGAGACAAACGTACAAAAGCGGCTGTGGGGAAATGCTCATGAATGTAAATATTGACAGCTTGGATGTAGGAGACATTCAAACTGGGACAGGAGCCTCTGACAACAAGGTTTTGCTTATTTACACTCAACGATCCCATCGCGGCATCAGATACAGTATATTTTCTCACTCTGTGCAACAAAGGTCTGGCGCTGAACCAGAGACAACAAATGTGCTTGTTTAAGGTGGAAAGAATCTGAGGCGGGTCAAAGAGGTGCTGAATGGGTGGGCAGCACAAGAAACTCCAGAGAGAATAACAAGTAAACTAAGGACAAACTGACTTACTCATTAACTGACTTGACTTTGACTAATAAGAGATTTAATTAGTCAAAAAAAGAGATTCGTGGGAGCATGAACTCACATCTGTGCACTTATCTTGTTTTATCACAAAAATAATGACTCTTTATTGGTTTTTAATTCGGAGGAATCAGAAAGATAATCATACTGAAGGGGTTTTTTGCATTATCGTATCATCTTGTAACTAAACTCAATTTAAAGTAATGCATCATGTGACCTCTCTGTGTACTCGGTCTGATTATGTTTCTGACTGCATTGAGGCAATGCGGGGACATCAGCAGAAAGTAAGCTTTTAGCTGCTTGTCTGCTGATGTCGTGGCAGATGGCCCCGCCCCTCCCTGAGCCTGGTGCTGTCGGAGGTTTCTTCCTGTTAAAAGGGAGTTTTTCCTTCCCACTGTCGCCAAAGTGCTTGCTCATGGAGGATCACATGATTGTTGGCTTTTTCGCTGTATTTATTATTATAGGGTCTACCTTACCATATAAAGAGCCTTGAGGCGACTGTTTTTGTGATTTGGTGCTGTATAAATAAAATTGAATTGAACTGATATTGAATTTTAGCCCAGCATGTCCTTTAAATTCAACGCCTGTTCAATTGGAAAGTATTAAAAATGTTTTTAGCTTGCATCTGTAAGCTCAGAGTTGGCTTTTACTACAGCTGCAACATTACAAAGGAGGGATTTTCATGCTTTAAGCTTTA